CCCAGTAGCTGCTTGAGGAGAAGGCATTTGTAAATGTTTGCTGAAATGACTGCATTTGCATCAGCATAATCAAGCTTGATTCAACCCAAACTAAAGTCATTATTAAGTCGTCATTGTTCTCAAAAGGATGAACACTTTTACCAAAAATCCAACTCTGGTTAGGCTCCGTTGTGTATGCTAGTGTGGCTACTAATTTGGAAAAGCAAAATGTCTTTGCTCTTCTTTTAAAATCTAAACCTATTAATGAGTGCCAGCAGCAGTAGCAGGGAGAAATTGTCCATCAAGAAATTAAAAGGCACAATGAAAATAGTGAAAGCATTTGCTGGCTTTGTTTTGGAAAGGCATGTCTTGTCTTCTTTTTTAAAAGACTACATCATGTCACATACAGTCATCAAATATTTAAAGATATTCAAAGCACAGTAAGGGTGGCATGTCTACACTGCAATTGCGTAGCTGAAGTTGAAATAGCTTAATTTGGCTTTTGGCGCTGTCTACACAGCAGGAAGTCGAAGAAAGAACACTCTTCCTTAGACTTCCCTAACTCTTTGTGAAATGAAATCTACAGGAGTCAGAGTAGGAAGCTCGACATTATTTCGAAATAACTAGTTGTATAGAAATGCACTTCGTTATTTTGAAATAACATCAGTTATTCTGAAATAACACTGTTGTGTAGACATACCCTAAATGAGCTACAGCAATGTTCCTCGGGTTCTGGTTATATTTACTGGCTCCTACTCAAGCAATAGTTACAAGCCTTCACACCAAGTAATAGTTGATGTTATATTCCATACTCCACCCTCAGTTAGATCCATGTGCTCCCATTAGCTTCAGTGTATATTGTAGGAACTGGTGTTTGTTATTTTATTATTTAACACTAACAAAGCCATACATGACTCTTTGCTGTGAACTTCCCTGAAAGTTTTTAATCCATACTGAGGAAAACTCTGTGAGTCCAGAATTCCAGCCCCATATTTGGGAATAATTCAGAAATCAGTCTCCCCAAATTGCAATAATTTAAATTGTGCCGTTTTTCTCTTTCACTAGACCTCTCCCTTTCACATCAAACCTATTCATCTGCTCTCTATACTGGCTTCTTGTAGAATATTGTCAAGTTCAGGGTCTCAATTTTTATCCTCAGGGCACCCAGTGGCCTGAAGTCAGGATACCCAAAAGATCACCTGGAGCTCCAGGATGAGGACTGTGGTTAACAACTCTCCTCAAAGAGAAAATTTTCCTCCAGGAGAAAATTCCAATCATATTAGAATTTTCTATCACAAAGTTAAGGCTCATCTGTGTGCAGTAGGCAGAGCTTTCTTGGGGTTAGTCACACGCTGTGAAACAAAATTCACCATCTTCCACACTGAGTGCAAGGCACAGGTCTGTTTCTGGGTTTCTCTAATATAAAAACGTAACTATGAATACATTTGCAAACAAATTCCCTAAACAAAAACACTATCCTGAGCATATAGTTTTCTGTCTGGGGAGAAGCTGAGAGAATGAATGAATCACATATGACACATGCTAATTGTGTCACTTAATATGCACATGTAAAATGCTCAGATACTACAGTAAGGAGGGCAGTGTAGGAATTCATGGGAAGGAGCTGTTCTCAAAGTCTCCCATTTTTGTGTTGTTGACATTTCATGGCTTTACTCCAGTTTTTTGAATATATAGAAAGCCTACGAGAAGGGTTAGAATTTATTATGACAGCAAAACATCTTGTATGTTGGGAAAATATTCAGAGGGTATTTTTTTACTTTACTTTTCTTTGAAGATGGATTAAATGCTTTTAGTTTAAAATTGAGTATAATAGTCATTGGGAGGGGATTCTTTTAGACTTCTGGGGAGTGAATTTTTATCTAGTCCCTGAGAAAGCACCCAATATAGTTACATACATAAAGCTGCATGTTTGCATGCCAAAGACAGGTTGTGTATCTAACACACTGTATATGTGTGTGTGAAAGAGATGAGTACAAAAACCATGAGTAAGAGGCACCTGTGTTTTTGGTGCCAAAGAACTTGTGTTTGATGCCTGCTTATGACCATGATGTCTGCATATATAGAGCCACAGTGTATATGTTCTTGTTAGGCAAAATCTGTACTTTTTGCAATTGCCTTCCTGGCATCATGTCAGGATCCAAATAGCTACTCTTAATTCTAATGATAAAGCTATGTAGTACATCATTTAAGGACAGCTTTTAATTTTTAATAGCAAAACACAATAAATGGTGGATATGTGAAAAATACAGTGTTTTGCTCCTGCTTTTGTTTTATGAGTCATGTGTGTTAAAAGTTCTAAATATAGATTCTACATGCCATACATATTACCATGAATTAGAAAAAGAAATACAAAATAACCTCATTTCCCCGATAAAGTCCTTCTGTGAGACTGTGAGTTAGGTAATTTCTTTTACTAGACCTGCTTCTGTTGATGACAGAGAGGATATGCTTTGTGTTGAACCAGCTGAAGCATTCATTTGCCCTTTGTCAGCCGCAGGTAGTGAATGATGGTATAATCAAATCTGCAGGTTATAAATTCTTAGAGCTTATGCATCATAACTAGGGCTCCATGTTTGTCACGGAGGTCATGGATTTTGTGACTTTCTGCAACCTCCATGACTTCTGCAGCAGCCAGTGTAGTGCCTGATCTTAAGACTTGGGTGCCAGATGCTCGGGTAGCCCCAGAAACAGCTACATTAGCTATTGCTGGAGCAGCTCTGCAGCCAGATGCTCAGGTAGACACATAGCCAGATGCACCAGCTATTGCTTGGGTGGCCCACAGCAAGTGGTACTGCTGGACCTGTCCCTTCCCACCCCCAACAGCAGCCCCCCTGTGGTATTCTCCCACTAGTGCTTCCTCATCTCCCTCCCAGCAGCAGCCTCCCGGGTGGCCTGCACAGCAGTACCCCTGCCCCCTCCAAGATTTAATTAGGAGTATAAGTCATGGCAAGTCTGTGAATTTTTGCTAAAAATACCCATGAATAAATCATAGGTCAATCATCCTCCAGCAGCAATGGACTCCGTCAACTAGTTAAGTCCTAGTTAGAAGGAAGCACTGCATTTCTTTCCACTGTTTCTGCATACATGTTTAGGATTAGCGATGAGTCCAACAGGAGACATTTGGCAAGCAAACACATCAATAAAGAGGGAGGTTAGCATTCCAGCATTGACAATAGCAAGTTATAAAACACAATAGGAAAAATAATAGTGGTTTACTGAGTTTTGTAAGATGATGAAGTTCACTAATGGTGCTTTTCTTACTGACTGCAATAATTGATCGAATACAATTTATTATTGTATCCACCATTCATCTGTGGCTGAATACCATTTCCAGTTATTTGAGTATGACCAATACTGCAACTAGACATCAGCTACACTCCCACTTTCAAAAAAATCTCTTCAAAGTTGAAATTGGGGGAAAGCAAGTTTGTACTTGCTGGGCTGAGATTTTTTTACCCTCCTTTTTCCCAAAAAAGTCTTCTGTTTTTCCCTTTTCAATTTTCTCACCTGTTTCCAAAGGTGCTGGAGGGCGGTACCACATCTCCTTTGGATCCTGTCAATACACCAAAGTTAGTTTCTGCCCCCAAAAAGTAAATGGATGCTCCAATTTTTTTTCAATGTCTACCTCTCTAGTCATATAAAGGTCACTCTGTGACTCATTTTTCCTTACAGATTCTTAATCATCCCACATTGTTGCATGACAATAAATTTTCATAATTGGTTTTTAGCTCACTGGAAAATATTGTTGTTAATCTTGATGATGAAAGATGAGAGAGCCACTGAATCCTGCCTGCCTTTGTAAAGTTTTTGCCCTTTTCTTACAACATGTGTTTGCATGTTACAGTCAAACAACTCTTCTGGAGTAATACATTTCATTAGCTACATTATACTGTCTACTCATACAATTCCCTGAGAGGGTATTTTCAAAAAATATTTTAACATTATAAAGGAAATTTAACTACATTTAACAAAGTTAAAATTAAAAATCCAGTCTTTTGTTACAATTAGACTAGAGAATTAGGAGCCAGGATTTGGATTATTTCCTAACTTTGCCAGTGATTTGTTCTGTGGCCTTGCAAAAGCTACTTAGGCCCAAATTTCCAAAGAGTCAACCAATTTTGGACACCTGTCTTTGGAAGCACTCACATTAAGACACCTGGGAGGTTAATTGTTACAGGCACTGAGCATGGGTAGCTCTTACTGGCTATACTTGCAGCTGTAGGTACTCAGCACAAGTAGAGGCAGGCCATAGATATCTCACATTGGACATCCAGAATCAAATGCATCCAAACTTAGTCAGCACTTTTTGAAAATGTGCAATGTACTTTCTCTGTGCAAAATTTCTGAGAGACTTAATTGATGAACATTTGTAAAAAATGTTGAAATGTTTGAAAAAGTTTGAGATATTTGGAAAATAGGTTCTGTAGATACCCAATATATTTTATTATTTTTAAAATATGCTAATATATTAATAATAAAGTGCTAATGCTAAAAATTTTGCTTAAACTGCCTAAAACCCAGAATATTCACCAAACAAAACAGGATAAAATTATTTAAATTACCAAGCAGAAAGCTTTGATTTATCTTGCTGATTTTAATCAGTTTTTCTATTCATACTTGAGTTGTTTTTCTTAAATCGAAAGAACGTGGCTTTTCTTTCGATGGTGGAAAACCTCATTTTACGAGGAAGAACGCCTTTTTTCGAAAGTGTTCTTTCAAAAAAAGGCGTTCTTGAATGCTAACGGGTTTTTCGAAAGAGAGCATCCAGACTGCCTGGGTGCTCTCTTTCGAAAAAGCGGCTTGCTTTTTCGAAAGTACCGCTTGCAGTCTAGACGCTCTTTTTCGAAAGAGGCTTGCAGTCTAGACGTAGCCTAGGAGGGATATCTGGACTGGTGATATTACTGTTACAATAGGATCATTCAGAGATGAGTTGTCAGAGCTTTAACAATGAATGCATATTATTTTTCATTGGAAAGCAAACTAATGTTATTTTGATACAGGTATTATTATTGAATACTGGAAAAATATACCTCAGTCAGTGAACAGTCGTCCTCATCGTGCTTCCATCATTTCAGCTCTTAAAATGGCAGAAGATGATACCTATATGGGAGTATCGGATCATCAGGTAAGTTCTAATGCACAGTTGATGTCTTCTCAGGTTGCCAAAAGCATGTGAGTTTCTTTTGTATAGCTATCCTAGCTATTTGTTGTGTGCCCATTCCTATTGCACCTAAACTTTCTATGGTCTGACAAAATCAAAAGGAAAAATACCAGAACAAATCTGTCTGTAAATTTCTCCCACTATGGGACCCACTCCTTGATGTTTCCTGAATGATGTAAATGTGACTTTAAGAGAATTTCCTACATTTATTTTTATTTCCCAGCTGCGTGATCCAAACTTACACTGAAATTAATTCAGTGATAGCCATGACTGAATTAAGATAAGATCATATATATAGATATATGAATGCTCCTTTGTGTGCTTATCTAATGTAATATCAACCATAGTGTTCCTTCATTCACAACCATTTTGGTGAGACTCCAGAACTCCCAAACTCTTCACTGATCCAAAATAATGTTAGGTCACTATGTTTATAATTAATTCAGGTGGTGAGAACTGTGCTTGATTCAAAGGCTGCAATTAAAATTATGTTAACCTCTTAACGCTTAATATGCTAAGCGTTAAGTATATGCTAAGTGGATTACATTTGGCTCTTGCTTTGCCCAGTGCCAGAATACAGTATTGCCAGTACCAAACTTTCAAAAATCATGAGATTGACTTAAAAATAATGACATTTAACAATTACATTTGTTCTTTTTATTTGCCTTCTAGTTTTGGAACTTTCAGGGGTGTCTAGTCTGAGGTTACATTTTTAAGATTTTCTCCTTAGCTGTGACATCTAGAAACATATTTTAAAAAAATAAAAGTTCATAATCTTACGTATTCACCTGACTTCAGGGATTTAAGTGTTAGGGATGTAATATCCCAGTTAATAAGTTAACCGATTAAACATTAGGCTTGCCAAGCATATAACCAGTACCACATCATCCAGTCCAGGATCTCTTTTCTGTCATATTAAATGCTTTCTGAAGCAAATTTCTAGTTTTCTGAGGAGGTTATGTTTCCACATTTTTATTTCCAGATACTTTTTTTGTTTTGTGCTTATCCTTCTATTTGAAAAAATGATTAATTTAGGTGCATTACTATTTACAGTAGATCAGAGAGTTGGTTGTTAACTGTGTGTGTTTTTTTTTTTTAATTATGAATTGAGGATTTTTTAAGTTGAGCCCATGGAAGCTGCTACTTTGATCCTCAGTAAGGCCTTCGGCAAGTCACTGTAGGCTAGATTTTCAAGGACTCAGTGGCCACTATAGGGGCCAGATTTTCAAGAGTTCATTTTCCAAGCACTTTTGAATATTTGGCCTGCGGTGCATCCACTGCTTAGCAATCCCTTGCCACGGAGCTGCAGTTTGCACTGGTCAAAGTGCTGAGCCCTGTCTACCAAATCCACTGGAGTTAGCATCAGTGGAATCGCACCTTTACAAGATGTATCAAAGTGTATTAGCATGAACGGGTCTTTACATTCTCTGAGATTTGGTTTATCCTACCTGTGAAACAGAAATAAGAATGCATACCTACCTCAGAGGTATATTGGGGGTCCTAATTAATATTTGCAAAGGGCTTTGAAATCCTCAGTTGAAAGATACTGTAGGGGTGTAAAAGTATTTTCGTGTATTAATAATCATGAACTCTGTTTCAATACAGATGTTTGCAATGGATCAGTTCATGGGAGTGAATGCACTATTTAATAATACGGGTTACATTACCTCAGATTTAGCACTACGAACAGGTAAGAGCCACTGCTATTTGGTCAAGGTGATTTGTGTGTGTGAGAGAGAGAGGGACAGAAGAAGGGGCGGAGAAGTGTTCTTTCACAGAGGATAGTTTGTTTATATATATTATTCTGTGTCATGAAACTCCTTGAAGTTAACACTTTTACGCAGTGGTGGGCAACCTGCAGCATGCAGGCCACACGCTGCTCGTCAGGGTAGGCTGCTGGGGGCCCACCAGACAGGTTGTTTATGTTGCGTCCTCAGGTACTGCTGCCAGCAGCTTCCATTTGCCGTGATTTGCCATTCCTGGCCAGGGGCGGGAAGCGGCTGCCAACAAATCTCTGCAGCCTGTGCTACTTCCTGCAGCTCCCGTTGGCAAAAAACAGTGCATCACAGCCAATGAGAGCTGCAGGCAGTCAGACCTGCAGATGCAAGGTAAACAACCTGTCTGGCAGCCCCCACAGCAGCTTACCCCAACAAGCCATGTGTGACCCATAGGCCGAAGGTTGCCCACCACTGCTTTTAAGAATTCCCCCAACCTCACTTATGAGAAGAATCAGAAGTTCAACTACTCAGGATAGATCTAAGCCTAAAATAGAAACTGAATGTTTCAGCCAGTTAAATGTTCTGATTGACCATAATCAGTAAATGATATATTGAATTTTAAAGCGACAGCAGCACTTTTTAGATGCCTCCAGTTGTTGAATTGCCTGCACCGTGTAACAGATACATTATTTGCATGTTATCTTGTGCTATGTTTTTCTTGTAGCATTTTTTTTAAGGGTATACGTTTCTTACTAATGAAATCTAAAGTGTATTTAGCTTCCTGTATCATATGAATCTGTTTTCCTTCTCAGTGACTTCTGTATTTCCTGTAAAGTGTTAGGTTGATATTAAAAGCACCTCACAGTTTCCTGAATGTTGACACAATATTGAGAATAGGGTCATATTCTAAAACACGCACACATATGCTCCCTCCCCCCAATCTGTGCAGAAAAAGAAAGATTATTTTGCGTCAGTATGCAGTTCAATTATCCCTTGTGGGGGATTGATTTAAGAGTGTTGAAATTTCTTGGCAGAGAGGAGGAGAAGAATAAACATGTAGTGATTAATACTACCTAGTAATTTGTTGTTGGAGGTTTTTTTAAATGTCATTTGTCAATATTACTTTTAATTTGAAAGTAGAAGTCCTGAGTATCCCCTGTGCAGTGTATTGGATTAAAAGATTTGGAGGAGAAAAGAACTCTGAATCCTTGACCAGTAAATATCTTTGCTGCTGATCTCCATTGCAGCATATGTGCCGTCATCATGTTCTGATGATCCATTTCCATTCACATTCTGTCAAGACATATCTGGTACTTTTCACATTGCAGGTTGCTTTGTAACACAGAAACAAAAGTGCAGTTTGTTGGATTCATTTACAAATTTGACAGAAATAAAGGACATAACGATAAAATACATCCTTGTGCAGACGGTTGTGTAAATCCCATTAAAACTCAATTTTAAGGGCTTAAGTTGTGCTTTTCTGCACAGAGGTAAATGTTTGTCTAAAAGAATAATATATACATATTTTTGAGAATACCACAGAGGTTAGGAATTTGTTATTGGTTTAGTATGACCTATTGTAAATCACTCTACTTCTTCTTAGGATGAGTATGAGTACAACAGAGTCAGGAATTGCTAACAGTGCAAATGACATTGCTTCAAGAAAAATTATTTCTCTGGGCAGCAAATCTCTTAACTTGCAAACATTCAATAAACAGTTTTTGCCTAAGTCTCAGTGGGCAGCATCTGGTTACTAGTTTGATACGGCTCTGAGTAGCAGGTCCTATGTATGGCATTATCAGTCTTGCATATGTCTCTGAGTCTTTCTGTAGTGATACACTTCTTACTAATTTTTAGTTTATGGGAGTACCCAACTTCACTCCATACAGATGAGTTAACACAATTATTTCAGACACAGAAAATTGATTTTTCAGACATTTGTGCCCTGTCTCTACTAGACAAGGATGTTTTTAAAACCATAAGGGGGATACTAGGGTTCATCTAGACAAGCTAACACATGATAAAACAACAGTTCATCCTCTAATAACTGCTAACATGTTTATTTCGTGACTGCCTTCTCCTCTTTCAGTACTTTTCTTTGCGCTGTCCGTTTCTACAAGATTAATGACAAGTTTGTCTGGGTATGATAGGGAACTGCTTGAGTATTTATCACAAGAAAACATTATAATTAATTTCAGAAGTGCCAATCACCCCTATCTTGCACTGATTTTGTCATAGTCATTCAAGTTGAAAAATGTCACCATAACAAGTAATTGAGTAATGCTACCATAGAAAACCATGGCGCATTAGTTTCCATCTGTTCCTTTGAATTGTGGTGTTCTCATTATTATGAATCTACTTTTTTAGCCACATTTTAATACAATATGGTGAGATGAGGATTGTATTTTAACTATTGAAAACAGGAATTAATACTCTTCTCTAATCAGTCGAGATTACTTGCTCTTCTGTAGTGGATTTTCAAAAGTGCTCATCCTTGGTTCAGTTCAGTTCTGATTGAAATCTCTGGGGTATTTTACAATTTAAATTCCATCAGGGCAAAGTTAAGTCAACACAGAGTGCTTTGGGAAATCCCTTCCTATTTTTGTTTATGCGTCTGTGTCAGTCAATCCATCTAAGAAAGTGATCCTCCACAGGCCTGAGTAGGGAGAAATTGAGGTGGGAGGTGTCGAAGAAAGAATTTATCACTCATGAAGTGATCTACCCAGTAAAGGTATTGAAGAATCAAGGCAGCTAATATCTGCCAGTGATGATGCAGCCTCAGCACCTAAAAATCTTTCAGCCACCCATGGACAATGGCTGAGTTACTGATTTGACAAGGAGCAGGCTTAATGCATAACCATGGATTGTGGTGCCATTTGAGTGTCCTTTAAACAATGAATAAAAAACTAGGGAGTGGAGGGACTTTCTGACAAGTAGCTGTGTGTTTGGTTGTAAATATGGAGTGGAGGGGCAGAGCCCTTTTGGGTAATTTACACTCAGGGTGCAGGGGCTGCAGTTTTTGCTGGTTCTCGACTGTCTCCTCCTAACTGTGAAAGCAGGTTAGGGACCATTCACAATCTTTCCCACAGCACATAGGCAAAAAAACGTGTGCAGCCGAGTGACAGTTTGGGGAGCATGTCTGCATCAGCTAAGGGGAAGAGGTGATTTTATGACCTCTATTTAAGACCATCATCTCCAGTGTAAATTAAAGCTTCCATTGTACAGCAGAAGACAGACCACGCCTGCTAATCTGAAGCTCTCAACAGTTGAGTAGGGGTGTGTGGAGGTGTCGGTGGCGGGTGTTCATTCAGTAGGAGGGCAGAAGGAGAAAAGGAACATGCTCTCTAAACAAGGGACTGATATCACCACTAAAGAGAGAAGACTGGCTGGAGGAGAGGGGCAGGACAGGCTTGCCTTCTCCCAACACAATAGCCAAAACCCCAAAAGCATCTCAGAAGTGAGGAGAACTCTGAGAGGGAGAAGGATTGCGTGTAGGTTTTGTTATCTAACCTAAATCTATAACTCTTGTGCTGCCTATGAGAGTGTGTGTGTGTATGTGTGTTTAAAAAGTTCCTTGGCTTTAACTGTCATGTGTCCCTGAGGAGAGAAACTATACATCAAAAGTGCCTACAAGGTTACAACTCTGGGAAGAACATTTATAAGCTACAGGATGGATCAGGAGGGTTAAGATGCTGACTCCCAGGTGTGGGCAGCTGTTCGATGGGGTTCCACTGCCAATGAGGTGTCAGACCAGATGTGTTCACCTGGTAGTACACACGAGTGACCTAGAACAAGGGAAAGTGATCAGTCACTACCCAGGTCCAAACAACCTAGCAGCATGTGATATCCAAAGGATGGGTTTAATATAGCCTCCTGGTAACCATCCACTAGCCAGGCATGATCCAAGGATTTAAAATTAATTGATTCAGGCATTAACTAGCCAGGCGATTGCCTAGGAAAATCCACCAGTCCTGCAACTCTGCCAGACTTGTCTGGTCCATGCCTCAGGGAAACCCACCAATCTCAGAAACCCCATGCTTCTTGGAATTTCTTTGGTAGGGCAGTGGCCCTGTCCTGAAGATGTGTTCTCCCCCAGAATGTATGTGCTAGAGCAGTTTCTGAGAGAGTAAAAAAAAGAGGGATGTAGCCCTGAGAGGTAGTAAAAACCATTAGATCTGTGACTCAAGCATGAGAGGAAGGAAGGGGAGTGAAGAAACACAGCAGTTGAAGGAGATGAAGGAAGTAGGCCTGTGACTCAGACCGAAGGGCAAGTAGTGGGATAGCAGTTAATCTGAATTGAGGGAGGTGAGAGGAAGGAAAAGGAAGCTAGGTAAATAGCTAGGCTGAAAATCAAAATGTTGCTGATCTGCTGCAAAAAGTATTCCTATTAGATGGCTGTAAATATCAAATACAACGCCCTGCTGTTTGCACTAGGAGTGTCAGGCAAATCATGAGGAATTGTGATGGTAGAACTTGGCCTTTTGTGGGAGTGAAATTCATTCCTGTGCAGAGGGATAATGCCCATGCACACTTCAGTCCTCACAGTGGGGCTAAAGTACCATTTAAGTGGTACACAGGGATGAATTTAATCCATACAGCATAGAATTCTGGGTAACATATGCTAATTATACATTATGCATTTTGAAAATGTAGGAGTGCAAATGAAGTGAAGACATTTAGTGTCATGTTTGGTGCTATGAAGTTTTATGGCCGATTAACATTTATAAATTATTCATTTGTTTGAATGAAATGTGCAGGAGATGGCGCTTTCTTGAAAGCTTGTACCAAATTGTGGAAAAAATCTCTCACATGTGATGGAGACTTGTAATGTCTTCAGCTCAAGGAGCATGCTGATTGCTGCTTCTTGCAGCTCCCATTGGCCAGGAACGCTGAATCACAGCCATGGAGAGCTGTGGGAAGGCTGGGCCTACGGACGCGCAACATAAACAAACTGTCTTGTAGCCTATCAATGGATTACCCTGATGAGCAATATGCTGACATTTGCTGACTCCTCTTCTATACATTAAAATAATCAAAACTCAAGCCAAAACAACTTCCCTAAACAAAACACTACTCTGCACTCATTCTTTCCCCAGGCAAGAGTTTGAGAGAGAATGACCCGCAGAAGACAAATATTAAATGCATTGTTTGATGTATCACAGGACAGAGCTCAGACACTACCATGATGAGTGTTTTAAGAACCCATATAGAATAGAATCTTTTTGAGTATGCTTAGGGCATTAATGTTGGGAAGTTAATTAACTGGCTTACTCTTTTTTTTTAAATAACATTTCTTAATAAACATGACAGCACTACGCCAGAATGACTTATTTCTGCAGGGTTTTTTTTTTTTTTTTTCCAGTCAATCAGGTTCAATCTAACTTTTACTGGTGGAAAGAAGGTGCAATGCCAGGTCTACTTTGTTTAAACAAGGCTATGGCTCATACAGTCTGACTAAGCTATAGCAAGCCATTATGCCAGCCTTTCTACATTTCTGATAGTTTTTTTTTCTTTTTTGCTTTCTCTCAGTTTTAACATTTCAAGCGTCCAAAGTCACATTCTTAGTATTTTCATCTACTACTATTATAACAGTTAAAAAGGGACCCTATGTTACAGAGAAAGGGAATATGTAAAACAGTCTATCACTCTGTATTTATTAAAACCTTTAGTAATCAGAATGTTCACTTGTGTTCTAGAATGCAAATAAAATATTTAATTACATAGGAAGAATATAATCCCAAAGTCCCTATTTGTTACTTTGTCCAACTTAAACATTAATGTTTATAGTTAGTTGTTTGTAAAGGGAGCTATAGATTCAAGATTGTCATTGCTGATCTTTGTAATGTATCTTTGGCATGAAGGCAACTACCGAGTCAACTGATTTTGACAGATAAGCAGTGAGGGTACCTAATAGATCTGCAAAGTAGAGTATTTCCTTTTTTATTTTGAGAAGATTCTATGTGATATTTTTATTGAAATAAAAAGTATTTTATTAAAATGGAATGGTCACAGTGCCTGGGTTAAGACCTAACACAATCACGCTACTACAGATAAACAAATCCTATAGTATTTCAAACAGTCAGTGAGTATCAGGCTCAGCAGTCAGGGTGCAGAAAGATTAATGGTATGCTTCTAAGCTCTCCCGACTGGACATGTTGAAACAAAAGGCTACTGCTAGTGGATTGTGAAGTTGTTCAGCATATGGACATGCTGCTCTGATGAGCTCCTCGATCTTGTCATTTCCTCAGTGGGGTATGGAAATACCCATACACTCTGCTAAATTACTGTGGTTTGGTTCCTTTTGGTGAGGTTCTGATGTCCTGGGAGTTCTGATAGCCTTTTTGGATCTGTCTTTCTCTTGGCTGTAGAAAGAAAGTGATGGTATCCACTTGTGGCACCAAAATGATATGCAATTCATATTAGATTGTGCAGATCTTCCTAAAATTATTCCTTTATTACAGACTTTGATAAACCACTGATTGTTAACATTATTAACATTTAAATGTTATCAGTCATATGAGTTAACACCCTATTAAGATGAAGGGGCAGTTTATACCTCTCAGAAGGTTTTTTCAGGCTTTTCTATAAACTCCTGAAAGCATCCCTGCATTAGTAACACTTGGTTTACTTTTTTTTTTTAAATGCTCTTCCCAACTTCAAGGCCAAGAGCTGAACTTTCCCTTCTCACAGCTGAGAATCTGAACAAGATGGCAAGCAGTGGTCCTCGTTTGTTCAACTTACCTCCGTCCAATTTAAGCCCTTATTGCACTGAATTCTGTGCTCAAATGCCATGCAATGGCTTCAGTGAGAATTTCTCACTCAGGGCCTGCTCCAAGGCCATTGAAATCAGTGGAAAGATTCCCATTGCTTTCATTGAGCTTTGATCAGGGTTATTAAGGTTAAATTGACTTCTCTTCAGAAGTATAGCATGAACTTGTGCATCACTTAGGTCCTCCAAACAGGGCTTGGGTTAAGTAGGGCTTAAGTGGTGCATAGACCTTGTATTGGCTCAGTGCGCAGGGATAGATTTTATCCACAGCATCAGATTATGGGCCTTTTAAGTCAGTTGGATTCTTGACATTGATACTAGAGAAGCAGACCCATATATCTGATGGTGCACGAGTAAAATTTTTGAAAGTGTGTACATGATTTAGGCTCCTAAGTCCCATTTTCAGGAGTGAGTTGGGACTCTTGAGGGGAATCCTAAGGACCTAATTCCACTTTAATAAACTTCAATCCAAAATTTAGATCCTCAAAAATCTGGGTTACTTTCCCCCTGGCGCTCTAGGTACCCAAAGTCCCTAGACACCTATCTTTTCCATTGGTAAAGTCCCCACCATGCTTCCATTTCTGGCAGTGGACAAGAGCACAGCCACCCATTTGCTGGCACCACCAAGTATGTTGGTGACTAATTCACACTCCAGTGGGATTCATAAATTAGTTGTTTCCCAGTTTATCTTGTCTGTAGACCTATTCTGGTGGTCATGCTCGGATGCTGCTTTTGAGTACAGGATCAGGCTCGGCAGAAAACACGGCCAAGGAGAGGGTGGCAAGGTATGAAATACTAAATGCAAAAATACTCATTAGAGCAGAGACAGGAACTTGGGTCTCCTATCTCCCAGGGGAGTGCCCTGTCAGTCCACCTTTCATTAACTGTGATGCAGTGAGTATTGAATTGTTTCATACCAAGCAGAATGGCTTCAATAGGCGAGGTTGAGAAAGACCCACCACAGCATGCCCCATAGCTTGGTGGCTCGGGCCCTCGTTTTGTATGAGTGACCTAGTAACAAATCCTTGCTCCGCACTAGGCCGAGGGGGGAATTGAATGGTGGGTCTCACATAATGCAGGGGAGGGATAGCTCAGTGGTTTGAGCATTGGCCTGCTAAACCCAGGGTTGTGAGTTCAATCCTCAAAGAGGCTATTTAGGGATTTGGGGCAAAAATTGTCAGGGATGGTACTTGGTCCTGCTGTGAAGGCAGGGGACTGGACTCAATGACCTTTCAAGGTTCTAGGAGATAGGTAATCTCCATTAATTTATTTAATTTAAGGCTCTAACTGTAGGCTAGAGTTTGCCAGCAACCGCCTCCGTTTTCCTGGAAACACATGTGACCTAAAATATGGGTCTAATTCCAGGAGAGGGTTCATAGCTGTTAATCCTGAGTCAAGTGAGGTGTCACTCTTCAGTCCTGAGTTAGAATCCTTTAACTCCTTTGGGGGACAGGGCTTTGGCCACCCAGCTCTCTGACATTTCCTACTAGCCCACTTGAGCAACTTTCTGCCCAGCTTTCTGGCTTCTGTGAATCTCTTTTTAGGCACCTAATTCTGCCCCCAGGCATTGTATATGGAACCTGGATGGCTAGCTAAGGGTTGTGAATTCCACTTGGTGGTAGGTTGCTAAAACGTTCCAGCTCTCAGTCATAGTCTCTTTGCAAATCCCACCCTTCAGAGCCTAAGGCTATGTCTACACTGTACAACTTACATTGGTGCAGCTGTGCTGCTGTAAGGTGTGTTGTGTAGCGGCTCTTTATTGCCAGCAACAAAACAAAACCACCTTCAACAAGGGTTGATAGTTTCGTGGATGGGATCACAACTTCTGCCAATGAAGCACTGTCCACACTGGCTCTTTTCATCATTAAAGCTTTTGTTGTTCAGTGAGGTGTTTTTTCACGTCCCTGAGTGACATTAGTATTAACAACATCTAAAGCTCATTGAAAGTTAATGGTGCCCCAAGTCACTTTTCAGTATAAAACTTAGGCATATTTGAAAATGTCACTCCTGTGTCTTTTTAGAAGATCTAATTTAGCCCTCAGGCTTCTTTATGTTATGCTGATATAAATCAGAGTTGCATTGTTATGTTTGTTGTTTTTTTTAGCAGATGGACCATATCTTCAGATCATAGAACAGCCTAAACAGGTAAGAGGAATACTGCATTTTGAAAAGTCTTTTGGGTGGATGTGTAAGCATATTGTGAGTGTCCAGCTGTAATCCAAGATGGAAAGATGCTGAATAATGTATTTCATTATAAAGCATTTTGAACTAATAGGAAGTGTGGTGCATTATTAGCAGGGTTTGGTTTTTTTTGTTTTTTTTTTGTTTTTTTATCCTTTTATAGCAAGGTCATTTCCTGTTTCATTCTGTTGTTATCTTTGGTCATCTCTCTGAAAGTGACACAGGACAAAAACAAATCTGAGGATTAAATTAAATGCATTTTACTAACAATAGAAAACATTTCCACCTAGGATGAAAATTAAAATGGATTATGATAGGATAATATCCCAGCGTGTGAAATGAACATGAGTCGATGAAATATTTATGGAAAATTTATAGGGTTTTTTTTTCATATTTCTTGCTAAAATGAAAAAAAACACATATAATGGCTCTTTTCCACACACTTTTCAAAACCCTTGCAAGAAACTCATGATTTGTATAGTTCTGCAGGATTCTTTTTGTCATACTCTTGGTAACACTGAATACCACAAAGATAAATGAAGAAAATTTGGGGGATGCAATTTTTGTACAAGCAAAGAACAATACTTTTCACTCCTCTGTCGGTATGATTTTCAGCTGACTGCACTGCTTGGGCTTCCTGCAGGTGAGGTGCATGGGAGTTGCTGGGATAGAAACTACCTTCCCACCATAGGCAAAGGCGCAGAGTGATATTCCAGCCTCACTGTTGGAATTGTGTCTTCAGCCCTTCTAAGCATTTGCACAAAATCCTACATCTGGTGATTAACCTTTCCCTCCCCCTCCCACAGAGTCACATACAGGGCCAGGTAGTGATGCTCTTATGTGGGTACGTGAAGATATGGAAGTGATCAAAGACTCCCCCACCATGGGCTTGTCACAGTACAATTCGTGCATGTGGAAGTTCAATGACTGCTCACTCAAGGCCCGTCTAGAGACATACCTCAGCCCAAAGGGAGATGAGGGAAGGTGGATCCCTGAAGCTGGCCTGACACACTAAGGGGATGCACAATGCATTCAGTGAAGTGTCCATGCTGAGGATGTTAAAATGCAGATAATCAGCTAATCGATTAGTTGATTGGGGGAGGGGAGGAGTAAGAGACGCTTGCTACTCCCACTGCAGCTCTGCAGTTTAAATGTAGTAGGAGCTGGGCTGTGTAGTTTAATTGTTGTAGAGGCAGCAAAGAGTGGGGGAGGGAGCGACTAGTTGAGTATTGACTCAGCTACCTGGTAAGCCTAGGTTTATTGGGCAGCTGAATACTCGACTCGTCGCTTACACTCCTAGTGCCCTGCTGCTTCTCAACAGTCCCAATTGCCAAGATGTGCCTTAAATACATGTTTGAGTTTACCATATGCAAACAGTGAGTTTACAGTGGCTGTAAAATGGCCACCCTGCCTACGGCTCTCGTCATAGAGAGGCCCCGAGGTGAACCACTGTAAGTTTTGTATTTCGGTGGTGAGAGGTGAGCCATTGACTGAGCACTGTGCACATAGTCTCCTCATCAGTCACACATAGGTCAGTGAAGGGGGGCAGGGCAAGGCTGGGTAGGTACGGTCATACAGGCAATAACATAGATCCAGCGGCCCTGGCAGCCCGCAGTAGCTTTGGTGTGGCTTCTTTGCGGCCCTAGCCCTGGGTTCAGGAGTGAATTTCATCCCTGACCGCCACAACCCCAACCGCCACTTGGGTGCCTGGCAAGCTGGAAGCCCAATTGCTCTGCTTTAATGTGTTGAAGTGAATTTTACCCTGTGAGTGTTTCATGAGTATCAGTTTGTTCTGTGGGCATGTGAGTGAAAGTCAAGCATTGTATGAGGGACAAGTATTTAAACAGCAAAGACTTTAGCAGGATAGATATTGTGGAGACTTTGAGGTTGATTACTCATTTGCAGAGTAATTGTGTGAGCATTGTGAATAGCTGTGGGCTGACTCTCTTGCATTCAGAGAAACCCGGTGTCAGAGATCTGCAGCATGATCCTGCTGTGCAAGTTTTGCCTGCAGAGAGCCTACTTGGCAGATGGCTGCGCTTCCTAGAATCACACTGAACGCAACAGAGTTCTGTTAATTACGGGTTTGGGGCCTAAGAGGGGAAACCTTCCTGACTGAAAGTGTCAGAGAGTTTGTAACGCTGCGTTTGTTACGCTGCAGTTAAAGGTGTGATATCATTTATTTAAAATAGATCCTATTAAATACCACTATATCCCAAATTCCCCATTCTCCCTTCATGATGACTTTCAGTTTCAGTAAATTTTGCCGTTCTTCATATGTCAGTGACTATAGCAGGGATGGGGAACCTTTTTCCTATCCGGGGCCACTGACCCTCAGAAAAAATTAGTTGCAGGTCACATATAGTCCCACAAGGGAAGGCACAGAGGTTCAGGTCAACAATGAGGGGTGCAGGTGCAGAAGGAGGTTCCAGGCTGGGGCAGATGATGGGAGTGTGTGAGGGGATAGGAGGAGTTCAGGGCTCTGAGAGGGAGATTGAGAGTGGGGGAGGGAGGCTCAGGCCTGGGGCAAGAGGTTGGGATGCAGAAGGGGATTCAGGGCGCTTATCTTAGGCAGCTCCTGTTTGGTGGTGCAGCAAAACTAAGGCAAGCTTCCCACCTGTCATGGCCCCGCACCACTGCCACTCCCAGAAGCAGCAGTGTCCAGCACGTCCCTGTGGCCCTTGGTGGGAGGAAATGGCTCCATGTGCTATCCTTGCCTACAGGCACCGCACCCCCAGCTCCCAGTGGCCGTGATTCCTGGCTTGTAGGAGCTGTGGGGGAAATGCCTGTAGGCAGAATGCAGGGCTTGCTGGGCTGGATCCAGTCCAGAGACTTGCTGGGCTGGATCAAATTAAGCAGGGGATCAGGAGACCCCTGGAATATAGCAATTAATTTGAACTGTCTTGTTTAACTTTCTCTCTGATAGAAAAAAATCATTTGACATCTTTTGTTTGTTAACATCAGTGGTATTGTGTTAATTGATAGATTTGAGGATCTGACTATTTGTGTATATTCCTAACCTCAGAATCAGAGATAGTGTTATCAGAAATACAGTGGTGTGGTTATTACTGTGGAAGGCTGACTTTCCAATGGCAACCTCTGTAGGCAGGCAGAGTTCCTATGCAAAAATTTGCAGTCTCCCCTCATTTTTTTATGTCCAGTGTAAAAGTAATCTCATAGTAAATGTGAATTATTTTGTGTAGGTTTCCTAACTGGAACACTTTGCACTCCTTCTTGACCCCCTCCCCTGCCCTTATAGAAATAGCAAGGTGGTGGGGGAGGAGAAGAAGTGTTCCTAAACACAGTTCATCATCTCAGGGGTTTGGTTCACCAGAAACTTCCTTGTTTTTGAATTTGCTTTGGTTCCTATATGGAACAAATTTCTTAGCAAACCAAAGATCCCTGGAAAACTTATTTTAGAAATACCAAAATATGATGATCCTGACATGAAATGTGAAATTAATATTCTTGTTGGTTTCATGGCTACTATTCTGCAAACGGGAGAATTCCTGGTTTTCCCCCTACCCTCTACTTTTCCTGCACTGTTGAAGCTCCTCATCTGTCTCTTCGCGTCCCCTGATTGCTACCATGATGGAGAGAGTGGACTGATCTATACTACCAGGGTAGATCAATCCTAGTTACGCAACTTCAGCTACATGAATAATGTAGCTGAAGTCAACATACTTAGATCTACTTACCACGGTATCTTTACTGTGGTGTGTCTACAGGACACACTCTCTTGTTGACTCCTCTCATGCTTCTTGTTGAGGTGGAGTACTGGAATCGATGCTAAAGCGATCAACAGTCGATTTATCACATATGTTCTTAATTCAATAAATTGATGACTGCTAGATTGATCTCTACCCATCGATCAGGCCAATACCCAGTTTCTTCACTACTCTAAATCCTTCATCCATCTTCTGACCCGTTTCTGGAGTACAAAGGAATCCTAAACCTAAATCTATTTAGTAAAATCATGTTAATATTGGGAAAAGAGATTCCTGTTGCCAGTCTTTATGTAAATGAGAATAAAAGTGTCTTTCACCCATGTAGAAGTATGTAGAGAGTGTTTTAAGAATTAGAAGCCATAACATTTCAAGTTATCAATAGTTGTTTTAAAGTAATGATTTTCAATTTTTTTTTTTTAAATCTCTACAGAGGGGGTTTCGTTTCAGATATGTATGTGAAGGACCATCACATGGTGGACTTCCTGGTGCTTCTAGTGAAAAGAACAAAAAGTCATACCCTCAGGTCAAAGTAAGTTCATAATACATTAATTATTTAAAAATGTGATTGTGAGTGCCACACAAGAAACCCTTAGAAGAGTTGTTAGCACATTACCATAAATTTGTTCGAAGTTATTCAGAACTGTGTATTTCAATGCTGATTTTTAAATTCTGAGACTGTTACACAAATAAGGCACTAGCTGGTTTTTTTTGTTTTGTTTTTGGCTAGTGAAAATTCTTCCCATAAATTAAAAAGAATCTGCTGAATGTCTTTGGTCCCTCACAAACTAACCTTGTGTGTTTAAACTGGTAAGTTTTTAAGAACAGAAATTAGCACAAGGCTTCTGAAACTAATTTTTTTCCCCTAAAAAAAAAAAGAGGTCATATAATCTTTCCAGATGTTTGCTTGTACTCGCTGTGGTGGTGATGGTGATTGAAAGCACATAGTGCAGCTAGTGCCTTTGGGACCAGGTTTTTTTTTAAAAATGGATGCCTAAAGTGAAGGGTACTGCAAAGACAGATTGACTCAAACAGGAGTTGGACAAGGCTCATAATGCAGTGTTTCTCAAGCAGCTTAGTCTTTATTATTAAAAACCATCAATCAAAGAAACAAATCTATAATGTCAGGGTTGAGATTATAGCAGCACTAAAGTTAAGAAACCTCTCATCTTAAAGCTCCCTCAGCAATCACATTCTCCTTATATTGCAGGGGAAAGATATGCTATATTTTATTTAAGCTTTCTGAGCTCATGAATTATGATCCATTGACTTTAGTGAGGGAAGCATTCATTTGTTCTTCACAGAGTGGGTTCCAAGTTACCCATAGCAGTATCACTAACAAAAGTCTGTATGATTACGTCTACACTGGCATGATTTTCTGGAAATGCTTTTAAAGGAAAAGTTTTCCGTTAAAAGCATTTTTGGAAAAGCGCGTCTAGATAAGCAGGACGCTTTTCCGAAAAAGCACTTTTTGCGGAAAAGCGTCCGTGGCCAATCTAGACGTGCTTTTCTGCAAAAAAGCTCCGATCGCCATTTTCGCGATCGGGACTTTTTTGCAGAAAACAGAACTATACTGTCTACACTGGCCTTTCAGGCAAAAGTCTTTCGGAAAAAGACTTTTGCCCGAACGGAAGCAGCATAGTTTTTTTTGGAAAAGCACTGATGATTTTACATTAGATCGTCAGTGCTTTTCCGGAAAAACTTGCCAGTGTAGACACAGCCTATTAGTATGGCTGTGTGTAATTTCTGTATCTTTCCACTAGAGATGTGCCCATTAAGAGCAAGAATTAATCGCTTTTTAACTCGTGAATTCTTTCCTCCTTCCTACTCCTTTGTGCATTAAAGATGAGCTTCTGCATTGGGCTGTGTTTGGTGTGCATTCTGTTGCCTATGCTCTGTTCATCTGCGCATTTTGGGAGAAATTAGGGTTTAGAACAATTGTATCTCCACTCTGAGTTAGAATGAGCATCAGTCAATTAATAAGCACCAAATCTTACAGCCTCAGGTGTTAGTCTGGTAAATTGGAAACCATAGTTTCGTGTAGCTGTGCAAAACTATTTTGAAAAGTTTCCAGCTCTGGCAAAGAATCAGCTCCCTTTCCCCTGCACATGATGATGGCAATGAGACAGTGAAAAATATTTCATTTGCAGGTTTAGAAATAAAATTACCTATCCCAGCAAAGGGATCTTTGAAGGCTGATTCAATGTCTCTTGATCATTGATAAGATTAACTGGTGGATTACATAGTAATATTGGATCTTGGATAGTGTCATATGCAATGGGAAGCAGCGTGTGGAAAAGATTTAGTCAGAAAACAAGCTGGAAGACAGAATGTCAAGTACTTCAGTCTTTCCCATGGGACCCATCTGGGTTTTTTTATCTGATGCAAATCACAACACAGTAATATATTGTGGAAGAGGCTGGTAAAGGAATGAAGTAAGTTCCTCCTGGCCACAGCCTGTTAGTGTCTGTATGTGATTCAAGTTGTGCCAGTGAAAAGTGTTTCACTCCTTTTCCCGTAAACATCCCTTCTGTTGTGTTAGAGGCTGCTTTCTTCTTCATAACTGAGCTGATCTCGATGAACCCAATTGAACATGTAGGAACAATAGTTAGTGAAAAATAAAAAGAGAGAGAGAGAGAGAGATCCAGAGCTCTCTGTGTACTGCTGCAATAGGTCTGAATCACTTTGGATGTGCAAAGCTATCTTAAAGTTGCTTACCTGGCCAGTGGAGGATTACCCAGTGCAGAGGAATCCCTCGGTGGTCCCTTGTGTATTTTACATCTGTGCCCACTTTTGGCTTAACCAAAAAGGCCTCATTTCATGATTACAGTGACATCGAAGGGAGATCTTATGAACTGGGAAATATGAAAATCACTGTGCCAAGTGTGTGATCAGTGCGGCTCAGGAAGGGAAGTGTTTGCATCTGCAAGCGCCTTCACCAACTCAGTACTGGGCCATCGAGGTCAGCTCAGTTATGAAGAAGAAAGCAGCCTCTAATAATCCAGTACTGACTAGCAAGATCCCCTACAACTCATTCTGGCAGCCATAAATTGCTAAGACTTAGGGAGACCCCTGCAGCTTTTCTCCCCTTCATAGATTCATTAAATTGTAGATTTCAAGGCCAGAAAAGGAGCTTTACATTAGCATAGTCAGACCTTCTGCAGAGCTTGGATCAAGTGCAAAACTTCCATCTGAGCTGGAGTACATGTTTACACTGCAAAAAAGGTATGTTTATTAACTTGGGTTATCTAATCCCCGTTAGCTAACTCAGGCTAAAACAGCTGTGAAGAGATGGTGACTTGGTTTTAAATTCTAGTTAAAGCTCAAGGTAAAATCCATTGGTGTTCCCAGGGTTCTAGTATTGTTAATCTGAGTTAAAAGCCTAATTGCCATGTCATCACTGTTTTTTTTTAACAGAAGTCAACATATCAGTTTAAGTCTATAAGAAATAGAAATCAATAAGATGTGGTAAGATTGAAGACCTGTGTGTGCGTTTGTGGCATTATAGCGTGTGGCATTTTATTTCATTTGTACTGTTATTAAGCTACTATTTGTACAACAACAGTAATAATAGCACACTGCATAGTACGTTTTCAAAGCACGGTAGAGTTGATTATTTCATTATTTGTGTGTATCTACAGTGTAGGATTTGGATATTAGACATACCTCAGTAATGTTGGATTTTAGAGCTACCTAAAGTAGGCTGGAGAGCTAATACTATCTAAAAATCTATAATAATTTTGACTTGTGTCTACTTAATACAAAGAATTTAACACAGAATAACTATGATATATAGAATTTTAGTGCTGTCATCTAAAAGCTCTTGAGCTTCATATTCATGATTACAGTTTTGTCATTTTGTGAAAAAAGGAGTCTACATAGTATGCCGATCACTGAGGCTACGTCTACACTGCAGGCTTTTGCCAGCAGAGAATATGCTAATGAAAATGTTGCATATTCTCTGCCGAGGCTTTTTGAGCAAGAGGTTTTTGCATAAAAACAAGTAGTGTAGATGGGTTTGTTTTGTGCAAAAAAAACCTCTTTTGCGCAAGATTGTCAATTTTTAGATTGTTGACTTCATACATTTGACAGGACTTTGTGTAGTTAGTTTTACTTGTTTTGTCTGAAGAACAGAAAACCATCTTTAAATAGGAAAATGTGATTGCAAACCATAAAAACTGCTGAGGAGACTCCGGGAAGCAGTTTTCAACTTAGGTTTTGAAATTCACTAGGTCTCAAGCTGTCCCTTAAATCTCTAAACAAATCTGTCTCTTAAACAGAAACATCAGATAAAATGCTGCATACTCACATTTAACTTCATCAGATTAGATGTACAGGCAGTCCCCAAGTTATGTGGATCCGACTTACGTCGGATCTCTACATACGAACGGGGCTTTTCTCGCCCTGGAGGACACGGGCGGCGGGACCGCCCAGACGCACTGCGGTCCTGCCGCCCACGTCCTCCGCGGCGAGAAAAGCTGCTCCGTGTCTCCCTGGGCTGCTGGGGGGGCCCCCCAGCCGAAGATTAGATGTACAGGCAGTCCCCAAGTTATGTGGATCCGACTTACGTCGGATCTCTACATACGAACGGGGCTTTTCTCGCCCTGGAGGACACGGGCGGCGGGACCGCCCAGACGCACTGCGGTCCTGCCGCCCACGTCCTCCGCGGCGAGAAAAGCTGCTCCGTGTCTCCCTGGGCTGCTGGGGGGGCCCCCCAGCCGACCAGGGAGACGTGAAGCAAAGCCGCGGAGGACGCGGGCGACGGGACCGCGGCGCA